CTCCACCACCACCTCCCATCCTCACGACCTGCACAATAACATTCCGTTATTTTTACTTTTGGCTTTGGTGCTGTGTGGGAAAGGCCACACATACAGAGAAACAGACACACACAGCCAGATGTGGACAAACCCGTAAGTGCGACCGCAGCCGCAGTACCGAGCTCCTGGCACGTTTATCACCCGCCGCACCTGCTGTCGGTAGTCACCACGCCGCCGGGCTGCACCCACCCTCGGACAGGCACGGGAGGGGAGAGCCTTAGAGATCATCCAGAACGTACGCCGTTTATAAATTGCCAAGTTCCACCTGTGCACAAGCTCTCAAGGCGCCTGATAGGTAGGCAACATCTTGCCTACAGTGCATGCGTGCACGGCGGGTTGGCCTACCCGAAGTCTTGCAGGCGCCGAGCTCCGGTAATTTGGCGCATATGAATCTCAGAAAACAAACGGACGTTTCAGACGATCACTTCGGTGAATCACGGCACAACAACTTCGTGATTCCCTTTGAATGTCTTAGTACCAGCCTTGTAAACAACACCTCAATTATTTTTTCACGGTCGACAAAATTAAACATGTGTGGGTCTATAATCAGAGTATATATGTGTTTGTGTGATTCACCTCACCACACACACAAAAAATCTCGACCACCCTGTAGACCTAAGTCGCTCGAAAAGTGTCAGAAGTCTGACAGCGTATTATGCCCTTCTTCGAAACCCGCTCTCCGTCCATTTTCCTTTCTGTCCCGCGCCCGCGCCGCCGTACGTCAGTCTCTGTCACTCTCGCTCCAACAGGACAAAAGAGGGACATTACTTAGTGTTATCGGCGTGCCGCCGAGCGGCCGGGCCGGCCAGCTGTCAGAACGGGAGCGCCCCGGCGCACGGCGGCGGTGCCAAGGACTCCCCCCTATCCCCTCACCTCAACACCCAACAGGCCACGGGCCCCGAGCTCTTACGGTCTTACGGCGGCCCCTTACGACCGGTCGGCAATTATTAGCCTTACCGGGAATGACAGGGATGAAAGGGAGTCTCGGTGGAGGAGATGGGGCAGCTGTAAACAGCACAGGGCACGCCACCCGGTCCGTAGGGTTGCTCCGGGCGCTGATCCTATGGGGGGTCGTTCCCTGAGGGGTGCACATGCCATAGCCCTCTCCGTAGGTAAAATGAAATTCGTACCCCCACCTGTAGTCTGTGAACGATCCCTCGGATGTCCGTCCATCAACGCCCGGAGCACCCTGGTGGTCCCTGAAAGAACTGAGACATTTGTACCCCAACCCTCACCCCCTCCCTTCTTACGTAGTTCGAGCACGCGATCCCTTAGTGTCCGGTTGGTCTACGTGTCCCACCCGCCGCCTCCGCCTGGGCGGGCGAGAAGCATCGCGGTGGATGCGGTGATTCACGCCGCACAATCATGATAATCATTCAAAAGCCTCCCTTTTTTGTTGTGTGTGCGCCGTGCGCGTGCGCGCCGGACGGGGCTATATACCAGTAGTCTTTCACATTTTTCCCAAGGCGCACGTCGGTCGCACGTCGCTGCCACCGGCGGACGCGCGCATGCGGAGGAACCGTGCGACCAAATTAACAAAAAAGTGAGTGCGGCCGTGACCTTCCCGCAGGGTGGAATACCCTTCTACCCCCCCCCCGCAGAGCGTCGCATGTAAGAGGATTACCCGTCTGCCTGCTGTGCGGTACTGCCAGATTCTCTCGCGGTTTGCCTCCCCCCCCTCTTTCCCCCTCTCTTTGTGTCCCTCTCTTTTCCTCTCTGTCTCCCTCTGTCTCTTTCTCCCTCTGACTCTCCGGAGGAAAATGTGTGCAAATTTTGACGGAGCGCGCGGCGGGAATCCCTTAACAACGCTCTCACTCTCCAAAAAGGAGCGTGTAAAAAAAAAATATGACACCTGTTTGGTGGTCTTGGTCTGCGCTGCTCGTGCTGTGGTTGAAGAGGCGGGCTAGACACTTGCTCCGGGCGGGGCGCTCCCACGCTCCCGCTTATAGTGCCGAAGGACTCGGCCCCTCGAGGCTTCCTCGACGACGACCCGAGCCTAACGAGCCGAGCGTTGTCTGCCTTGTTTACATGCCCGGGCCGCGGTGCCCCGGCCGGGGCATAAGTAGCAGGGCCCAACGCACGAGAGTATGTAGGCCGCTAAAAGCGGCATTTGTAAGTTTGCCTTATTTACCCTTCGATAATACCGCATTACTCACCAGCTCCAGGGACTTGAGCACGGCGTATCCGTCACACCCCATGTTGGCCGGTCGTCGTGTCGGCTTTTTCCACAAGACACTCCTCACTCACTCACGCCGAGCCGCGCTGCACTTAGGCCCTCGTGGACGTCATCGGCGTGCCAAGCGCACACGGGCACGCGAGCCGACACGCGACGCCGAGCGTGTCCGTCACCGCTTCCTCGCCGCGCCCGCGACGCACCGCGACGCACCGGGTCCGTCCTGCGCCGGGCCAAAACTCCCCGAGGACGTCGCCGCCGCCGCCGTCCGGAGGTGCCCGTCAACGTCCTTCCACCTGGGGGCAGCGCGGAGCACTGGAGCAGGACTCCGACGACGGCGGACACGATGTCCGGTCAGGATCGAGGGTTCTTGAGGTGTACGACGGCAGGGGCGCTTCGGCGACGGCCGGGGAGCCGTGAGGGGTTGGCAAAGAGATCCGAAGAGAACAACGGGCGCCCTGGCGGAGGATTTCCGGAGGACGGCACTCGGACGCTAGTCTACCGCGAACACCGGCTTCCCGTCAGAGAAGTCCGTGCGAGACTGGACTGCCATCCTGGGACGACGGCTGAGCTGGGACCCCCGGCGCCCCGCCACGCCTGGCCGCGGACCGCGGAGCGTCACGACGCCCCTCTCTCTTCCCCTCTCTCCCTCTCGCTGCCGCCGCGGGCCGGCGCTGCCCCCGCGGCGGGCCGTGCATGTCCACGGCGCCCGGAGGTGCACGCCGCCGACGAGACGGCCTCTGCTCGAGACGAGGCGCCGCTCACACGGCAGGTGGCGTCCTTCCGCCCCGCCCTCTCAACGAGCCTCAAGGGCGACCTTCGGCCCGAGTCCAATCGTAAGGCGCCTGCGTATCTTCGGGTAGGCAACCCCGCACGATGGGGAGGTCGAGCGGGTTTGCCTACCCGGCCATCGACAGGCGCTTCTGCCCCGCGCGGCCCCGGATCCCAAAAAGGTCCCCGGAGGAGACTTTGGATAGGCAACTCCGCACGACGAGGAGGTCGAGCGGGTTTGCCTACCCGACCATTGACGGGCGTTTCTGCGCCATACGACCTGGACGAGGGCTCTCTCCCGTAGGGTCCGCCGCGCTGCTGTCCGCCTCACCGTTCGGTTGCGTGGACGAGGCGCGGCGAGGCGCTCATTGCCACCCGCCTCATAATCACGCGCCGCGCCCGGCCCGAGGCCCGGCCGGACTTGCGTAGGTCACTTACGCCCTTGCCGTGCGTTAATGAGGGCGGCAGGACGCGGCCCAGTCCCAGTGACCGGCCGGACAGCGGGTCATCCTCCAAGTGCGGCGAGGCAGAGTTGTTGCTCACGCCGGGCGGGAGAAGGAGACGCGCACAGACATCGCGTATGAAGGACTTGCCTGCTAGCTCTCCGTTTTGCTGGAGCTTGCTGCAGCTGCCTCCTCGAAGGCGAGGACCGCCCCGCGAGACGAGGAGCTTGTTGTAGCGAGGCCAGGAAATGTGTGTTCCCAGGCCCGAGTACCCAGCAGGTAGCGCGAGCAGGGCTGAGACTGGGATCCACGTCTGGAGGTGAGGGGAGGGGAGCAATACACGAGACACACGATGTTCAATTTACGACAATTTCAGTTTATTATCAAGGGAGTGGGGGTTCGAACAAAGTTCTACTGTACGTCTTAGAGACGACAGAATAATATGGGGACATAAAAATAGCGCAAATAGTGCTTAGTGATTATTACTTTCTGATGCAGATTCAAGGTAAAGTCTTCTAGGTAGCCATAGTTTTTGTTGCGAGGAACTTTAATACATAATACACTAGTTAATAACCCTGTATCTTCAGTACACTAAGTTTTGTACATTACATTATAAATCAAAAACGACCAAATCAAAACTAGTCTAAGTGCCATGGGTTGCGCGTTATAAAAGCAAGCACAATGTCAAAGGTGCGTATGGCACTCAACTTACAGTTCAAGATCATAGAAATTTGACTGGAAAAAAATTCATACACTGTTCATTCATACACAGTCTAACATTGTTTTCATGATAATTTGAAGTAAACTATACTTGTATTTTACATATAT